CTAATGAACTCTCTATTAAACAGATAACTCACTGGTGTTTTTATGATATTTCAATGGTATGACATACTTTTTTTTTTCACTGATTGTAGTTATAATTTTTTCAAAAATAGAGAAGGTTTACTTTCCCCTGGATAAACAAGGGTCCTATCACACATCTACATTCCTTTAATCTCCAACTCTCTACTACAGCATTACTTATGTAGCCAAGGTCATCACCAGGGAGAAATCCAACTACATGTTACTTATTTACAGGTTTTATCTCTACCTTTGTTAAAAGATTATCGATTAAGTACCGAAGGAATCGATACAACGTTGAGAAAAAGATTAAAATACTTTGAACAAACTTGAACAATGAAAGGTTCCATTTTTATACAAACCATCGATGACATGGCTCAGTCTTGTGAAATCCTTTGGAAACAAAATTAGTTACATTGTAGGTGAGCATCAGTGGGAAACGCAAGTTTGTCAGAGCACCTAGTCGGTGCGTTGATGTTCTCATTTAAACTGCGCTATAAGAGAGGGGCATTGGGATTTTGGCTATTTTTTAGATCGGTTTTTCAGTTTTTGTACTAGAAAACTTCGGGTTTTCGGTTTTGGTGTTCATTACGGTTTGCAGATTTTCCGTTTTTGAGCATTTTGTTTTCGATTTTCTTCAAAAATACTAATGAATTTTCGGATTTGGTATTTGTCGTTTTCGGTTTTCCCTATTTGGGTTCCGGTTCCTCTTCTACCTGAGCGGCAATTACGCGCCTCCTCTGATTTTGGATAGCCGCGAAACCTCTGTATGCTGCATCGGATCGATTAGGGTTCTGATAACTGGGATCCAAAATGTTTCACGTTTATGCATGCGGTTTTCGGTTTTGATCGAGTTATTTTTGTGGTTTTGGATGATTTTTTTCTACTGTTTTGCGGTTTCTAATAGACCTCAATGTCCCCTCCTACCACAACAAAAACAATCAGACTACTTGTGCGCCAACTCCACTCTCCCTCTTTTATTGTTTCGATTCAGCTATATGAATTATTCAACGGTTCAGTCTTAAAGCGTGTATTTTGCTTCTTGCTAATCGTCAACTTGAACAAAAAAATTATAATCGATGGCAGCAGCAGTAATCATATTCAGCTTATTAATGCACTAGTGCCGTGAGATATTACATAGTTAACCTTACGTAGTTTGTAACTGTTTGTCTTCTTTCCTAACTAGTGACATACAAATTGGCACCAAAGGAGAACTGTAGGAAGGCAAAACCATTTTCTTTACTTGCAGCGATCCTTTAGTTTGCTTTTTGGAAGGAATGTAAACAACTCCTCTTTGACTGTAATCGAATACCTCATCCTCACTGTTGCTGGAATAATCATCTTCATCGGCGAGAAAGAAGATGGTGTCAGCTTCTGAAGGAAGACTCTCTTGTTCCCCAGACGGCTGGATCATCATAAATAACAAACACGTCAGTATACTAACGAGTCCCAGGATTCGGAAGGCCACATTAGTATCAAAACCCTGGATTAATATCCCCCCGAATATTCCTCCAATGCTTCCCCCCACCCCTAAATACAACCCCTGAAGAAGAAATAAACCTGTTGGAAAGGTCGATGTTGGAGTGTAGTTCGTGATGTACAAGAGGAATGCTGACCAGGCCGTAGAATTGGAGATTCCCTGCAGAAGCTCAACCGGTGGGGTAACCCACGAGGAGCGAGGGGTGCTAAGCCAAGAGTAAATCAAGAATCTTAGAGCATAGGATGAAAGACCAAGATACACCATACCGATATATCCCATGTAGGTCATAACAATCGGCGCGGACAGAGTCATGATCGCATCCGAAAAATACTGACTGACAACCGTGAAGCCCACAACGAGATCCGAGCCTCCAATATCCACTATATTCCAGTAAACAAAGTTAAAGAGAACCCCTCGGAGCATTCCCATGATCAAAACGATGAAAACAAAGGTGATGTGTTCTGATGACACCAGCAGCCGCAGTGACTCTTGGATTTCAAAGCCGCGACGGCACCTTCTGTAGGAGAAATCAAATTTGAGCGAAATTGCTATGGCAACCGCCATAAGTAGAGAAAAGATGATGAAGGCTACCTGGTAATTTGCATATTCAACGTCACAAATTGTTATTTTAGGGGCAAAATGAAGCAATAAACCTGTGATCAAAGCTACAAGTCCAATACCAACCGAACTATAGATATTGTTGTTGGCTACGTTTTGGTAAAGCACACCTAAATGCTCCAAGAATGTCCCATCAAAATGAGTGTTAAGATCATCCGTAGGCGATTGAAGTATTTCTCCTACAAACACGATAAAAAGCATCTCGTTGAATATTATACTGGAATACGGGTTCTTTCTCCTGTTGTAATATGGTACTCCTCGAGATTTAAAGTCATACGGTTTTCGCTGACCGTTTCCGCCTTTACTATCAGTGCTAGCCTCTAATTTTAGTCCCGACATTTCCAAACTATTAAAAAATTGCCTTTTCAAAGAATAAAATCGTGAATGATGCGATGTTTCTTTTCCCTCTACATCATTTTTGATATTTCCTTTGGGAGCCTTTCCAGTTGCACCGTATTTTTGAGAGTAGCGAGTATTTTTCTTCTCATAAACTGTATGTTGTTCTTTCGCGAGAGAAATACTGACTGGTAGATCGAATTCCCTTTTTTCCTGACCGGGCAGGAAATCTTCATGTTTCGAGCTGAGTTGAGCGGTGTAATTTCCTTGATTAAAGCAAGGCTCGTTGGCTGACGAATGAGAAACAAACATCAGCGGGATGGTGAACACAATCCAACTCACAAGCGAAGTGACTAGTACAAGTTTTCTCATTTTATACCTATTAGACACAAAGCTCCACATTGGAGCACAAAGTAAGGCAATGAGGGGACGAATTCCTCCCAGGATTCCTATCTGCCAAGGGTCCATTCCAACAGCTCGATAGTACAAGTTCAGGAAAGGAAAAAGAGACCCCAAGGAGCCAAAAAAGATGTAGTAATAAGTAGTCGGGAGCCATGTTGTGAGTTGCACCTTGTTTACTTTCCAATGTCCGCCTTTCAGAATCCTTCCCATAGTAAATAAATGCGAAGGAAAATTTACTTCTGCGATGAAATAGAAAACGTCATTTCAGAATCTTTTGAAAGCAGATCCTCAATATTCTCTTGGTGGATTTTCAAGCTGTCCTTGATTAGTGATATGTCTGTCAAGATGTCCCGTTTCCCTCAGTTTTGGAGCGATTGGATTTCGCTTCCTAGGTGTAAAATGTAGCCCTAAAGAATGGCAATGACTGAATGAGTAATCCAATATTTCTTTTCCAGCGGTATCTATAGCATGATTCCCTTAGATGTACCACCTAGTTTGGATATTATCAAAAATCATTGATCTAAGAATTATTTCGTGTTTTGCACCCACGACGATTATGCTGTAAGATCGAAATAAATTTTTTCTCGACTACTTTGGTTGCTAGGTTTCTAACTTAACGTATTGAAAGCTGAGGACATTGACAATTTCTTTTTTTTCTTTCTTGTTACATGTTTTTACCTCTTCCAGTCTAGTTTCATGAAATTACATTCCACTCTTGAAATCTTTGGGAATTTTGATCAAACCTTCTTAAAAATCAAGATTCTTTAAAATTTATTCAAACTTGCGTTTACTGGGAAGAAAAAAGGTAAAACAGTAGTGTATTTGTAAAGAACAGCTGAACAAAGAATGGACAGAGAACAGCCCGATGAAACCCAGTCTCTCAAAATTAAAAAGAAAATGTTTAATATTTAATTATTTCGATACTCTTAGTTAAGTACTTTGAACTATTTTATCTTCTTAAATGCACGAATGAAAAACCTGAACTCATGCGCCAAAAGATAACCGAAATTTGCGAAAGAAGAAGTGTTGGAAATCTGTATCATAAAAAGTTGAATTATGCTTACGCAGAAGTAGGTAATTTAAAAACGTTTTCCACTTCTTCCGAGCCAGGCTTTTTAACTCCAATTATAGCAAATAACCGGGACTGACGCCGCAGCAAAACGATCAAGCATTTCCAATTAACATTGTTTTTGTTGCACACAACACGGGGTCGTGAAGGAAAATTTTGGATGAAAATATTTGACCCATACATAATATGGGAACCATTTAAATGCACATTGAGAGAGGTGGCTAAAACAGTAAAATATATCCCCCCAACATAACTCTTCTAAGAATGCTTTGATCGCTTAGCCGAAGGAGAATAAGAAGCAGGAGTCAAAAAACTGTGGAAGTGGGAGGAGCAGAAATCAGGGTCCACTTCGCCTGTTCGAATTCCTCATTTTAATTCTGAAAAATCTGAAATTTTTACCGAAAATTTAGGTTAACAGGAGGGTCACCCAAAAATTTGGAAATAAGCACCTCGCAGGATAGTGCAGGACAGGCTGAGTCACCAAATAAAAGTTTACAAATCGTACGTGGATCACGTGACCTTATCTTAAAGGAAAAATGCATTCCAGCTTACTTATGTTATGACGCATTTTTGTTAAAGCAGGTACATTTTATGCTCCAGTCGTTACGGAGGAGTTCGCTAACTGTGGCATTTTGCCTAAAATTTTATCTTTACACCTGCAAAGACATTTTTAAATTCTAAAGGGGCCATGTCAAGTTTTGTCCCAACTTGTCTATACTGGTAACATTCTTAGGAGTCTAAAACGGTTGTTCTTCTTCACTCATTTCAAAATTAAATTATCATGAGAATTAAGGCAATTCTACGCAAGTCCTAGGCAAACATTCTACAGAAAACGTGAGATGAACGCCGTTTTGTTTGCTATCGGTGCAAAGAGAGCCGTGATGGATTGTTAATATTTTTTTTTCCTTTCTAATCTCTATACAGGCTGACTCAAGCATGAGAGCTCGCTTCCAAAGGCTTCATGACATCCAAGGCTTGATCACATCCCTGTCAATTACGCACTGTGTCACGCGTCACGTTCCAAAATGTATCATAACGTCATAGTTTCCAGTCTATATTTGGAGTTGGTCACGTGACGCAACAGTTCGTAAACTTTCCAAGCTGACGGAAATCGTGAAAATAGTGGTGATTGCACTGTAGTTTTCGTCAAGAAGAGCTCAAAGCGTACATTTTTTTTGCAAGATGAATAGGCTTTTCGGGCGAGGGAAACCAAAAGCACCACCACCGAATCTCACCGATGCTATCGCTAACGTAAGATTGAGATCTGTTCGAAAATCGAATTCAACATGTCTGCTAGAGCCATGTAGATCTCGATGAAATATTGTGTTTGTTATGTATCTAGGTCGACAGTCGAGGAGAATCCATAGAGAAAAAAATTAGTAAACTTGATGCTGAACTTATGAAGTATAAAGATCAAATGAAGAAAATGAGGGATGGACCATCTAAGGTATGTTTGGAAATTGGCTCATTGGCTCAGGCTTAGTCTGTCTGTATCAGTTAATTTTGACGGTTGTTGAAGTCTAATCTAACTGTTTAAAACGACTTTATTGAGATAAAATTATATGCTATGTAAAAAAGATATCTTAAATTTACCCTCATACTTATTCCTTGTTGGTGAACACCCATATATACAAATGTTACAGTCATACCTGCTCTTCTTGATTAAACTTGTACTAAAGTTCCAAGGAATTTCGAATGTCTCATTGTAGCTTTGAACTGCAAGTGAAGGGGTTTGGCATGTATGTTTGCCTCTGTCTCAGTTCTTTCAAAAAGCATTTTCACATTTTACACTGTCATTAAAATGGGAAGAGAAGTCATCATGGCATGGAAAATTTGAGATTTTACCCATTTGAATCTAAACTAGGGAAGTTTTGAAAGTGACAAAACAACCCATGCAGGGTCTGTCTGAGGGACTGGGGGCTTCTCCTCCAACCCCCCCCCCCCCCCCCCCCCCAAAAAAAAAAAATGTAAAAATATAGGCATTAACAAGATACCTAATGCTTGTGTTTTGAAGATTTGAATTATCACTCTCCATGTGTCTTTGTTTAAGTAAAGGTCTAGCTTGAAAGAAGCTTACATAACACCCAGACAAGCTGTATTACATGGTCTGTGTACCAAATGTTTTATTTTCAATTCTTGTACCCTCCTTGTTCCATTTGTTTAATTTTGAAATCTACCAACTTTTTAAAGAGATTCTAATTTATACAAACACCTACACACATATATATTTATGCTTAGTACAGAATTGCTCTTAATGTTTGGCCTTCTCCCTTTATGTCATACAAACACAGTGTAGTATTTATTTCACAACCTTTACTCAACTTGTTCAACTTTGAATGATTATTGATTACAGAATATGATCAAGCAAAGAGCACTCAGAGTACTAAAACAGAAGAAACAGTAAGTTTACTTGATTATAGATATTGACACTGTACCAGTGGAAAAGCTGGGAATAAAGACCATAGTAAAATTCTAAATTATGAACCTTTTTACTAAAAGAGTCAGTTATATCCAGGAGTAAATCTTCAAACCCTCTTCCAAAGTTTGTCTCTAACTGGTTTGTTGTCCTGAATATTATGTTCATGGCTTCAAGTAAGTGTATACACATTCTAGCTTTCATTAGAGGTAAATGTTTCTCTCTCATGATGCATAGAAGAGATGGGTAATTTTGACTGATGAAGCGATGAAATATGTTTAACTACAAAGGGCATCAGGTTCCTTTCAAATAATTAAATATTCTTTTGCCCCACCAGATATGAAAGTCAACTTGAGAATCTCCGGCAGCAGTCTTTTAACATGGAGCAAACAAATTTTGCAACACAGACACTAAAAGATACCAAAACAACTGTAAGTAATTCTGCTTGTAAATGATGCAGGTATAGAGAAGTTTAAAGTTTGCAAATGTTTTTGTGAACTTTTAACTTCTAATTTATCTTGCTCATGATTTGTTTTAAAGCATTTTTTGGCATACAATTGTAATAATCATTGCCTGTGTTATTATCATTAGTTTTGCAATATTTTACTCTTAGGTTGATGCTATGAAGTTAGGACTTAAAGAAATGAAGAAGGAATACAAGAAAGTGGATATTGATGAAATTGAGGTATGGTGAAGTCAAAGTTTTGTGTCTTCATTGTGATACTGTTTCCCTCCTAATGGAAAGAATTACTTTTGTTACTTTAAGATATTCTAGGCAGGAACGCTGATAATATTTCATATTTCAAGCTTGTGAGATTACTAACCTATCCATGAGTCAGTGACATATGAGGCAAACCTCTTCAGAATACATGCTGTAGTTATTACTTCTAGCTACAAAGATTTACTGAATAGTTTTTAACCTAGCCTTAAAAGAAACATTCAGAATAACAAGATTTCTAGTTCTTAGCAGTTACTCCAGCAGAGTCATCACTGATTTAACATTACAAAATTATCATACCACTATAATACCCCCTTTGAAATACACTTGACTTTATATGAAACCTTTTTCATACTACTGTAAGAATGAAGATATGACCTCCACAAATAATATTATTTATGAAAACATTTTTGACATTTCATAACTATTTCTCAAGGATCTTCAAGATGACATGGCAGACATGCTTGAGATTGCTAATGAAGTTCAAGACACCTTGGGAAGATCATATGGAATGCCAGAAGACATTGATGAGGCTGACCTTGAAGCAGGTTTGCTGTATCACATATTAGCTTGTTATTTAGTCAGATGATTAATGAAAGCAATTCTGGGAGGCTTATAGACCAAGTGATACTTGTTTGTCAAAATTATGGTGACATTTTATACAGAATTGGAAGCTCTTGGAGATGACCTGGCTCTAGATGAAGACACCTCCTACTTAGATGAAGTTCCAGCTCCATCAGATACCTTACCAGGGGAGGGAGATCAGGAAGGAACAAAAACACAAGTACAGTTGTTTATCATGTTAAAAATGATTGTCATTGTTTTCAGCCACTCTATGTCAGTCCCACTCCTGATATAATATTTTCAATGGTGAAATTTGTTAATGGACTCTGACTGTTCTATTTCTGAAAAGAAAGATTTGTGCAAATTTCCAAGTTATAACTTCCCTCTAAAAAACTTAATCCAGCAATAACTCATGGTAATGACTTGTGAAACCTCAGCTTGATAACTACTGGAAGCTGCCTGTGTATATCCCATTTCTAAGAGCAAGCCTTCACTGGTTTCTTACATAAGAATCTTCTCCAGTTTTGGGTCACTGATGTTACTTTGGAATCCAAAATATTATATTTTGATAAGCAAGATTTTTGTATCATGCATAGTTGTAAAAAATGAATTTTCTGCATTTATGAGGGTCAATATAACTCAGTTGATCCCTGTTGATTATGTTTCATCAGGCCTTTTACTTACATGGTACATGTCATAAACTAGAATTAATGTAACTCTTGCACTGACAAAGGGCTAATGCTTGAAACATCAGCTTTTAGTCTCTTTACAGTGTCCAATTTACAAAATCAACATGATAATACTAAATTACCCTGTTATACTCTCCTACCGATGCAGCACCACAATTTCTTTCAAAACTTGCCCCCTTTATTCTTGCTTTGTTACCTATGTTACTGAGAATGGGCTTGGACAAGGGGAGTGCTCAGAACTGAATCAATACTTCAATTGAGCCTTAGGCAAATGCAAGACAGTATACATCTTTCTCTTCCTCCCCATCCTCAGCCCACCCTCCCTTATTGATTGTAGCAAATTCTGTTCTAACTTGCATGTAATTTGCCTTGTTTTGATCATCTTTTTTTTTAATGGTTTTTTTGTTCACTTCTAATCTGTTTCAGGATGGAGTACAAGTTGATGAATTTGGCCTTCCAGTTCTAGCCAAAAATTAGATTCAAACACTGATTATTAGTATTTAACTTTAACTGGTAACTCCATTGCTATGTGAATTTGTTGAGTATCCATAGTAGCTAATTTTAAGTTCCAAGAACATTTTCCATGGAATTCCTTTCGGTGCTTAGTCCTTCACAAGCCAAGGTTGTAGCTTTATAGCGGATGCCATGATCTAGGCATATTCATTTCCCAAGACTCCATAATGTTTCAACAGAAGTAAAAATATTGTGAGCCCATTGTAAAATATGATTTAAGAAAAATTTTTTAAGTAACCTAAGGCTTGATAAAAGTTAGGTATGGGTTACACCTTTTATGGTAAATTATTATCCATCCTACAGGAAGAATATTTTGCATAAGGAGATGTTGAATTTGTACTGTTCACAAAAATTTGTTGGTTTTCATTGGTGTATGAACCTGTGAAGTGCAACTCTGTTTGGGTACAACTGGTTTCCTAGTTTCTGTTGTTTTTCTATTGCTTTGACTTCTTGTTTTGTTTGTTTTATTTTACTAGTGAACTTAACAGGTTCAAATACTAAGCTTGAGCCAAATTTACCGTGATATGTATTCATAGTGTCTTGTAATATTGTAAGAAATAGGTACAATGACACATATCTTGTACATGTTTATGTAAAGCGGTTTTTATTATAGAAAGAAGAGGAATGAACATGAATCTTGGTCAAGTGGGTTACGTCTAGTTGAGCTGAAGTTCCATGTTGCGGAAATTAGAATAAAAAATAGTTAGATGGTGATTCCACAGTCATTAAAGGTACTTTTCCTCAAGTTTTACTCAAGTTTTGTTCATTGAACTCCAGTTTCTAGTTCTTAACTATTTCATTCCATAATTTGCAGACAGTCCACCGTATATGGGTAATTTTCTGGTCAACATTTACGTGTCTAATCGGTCATCATTTCCAGTTCTTCTTTGGATATTCAACCATGAGCCAAACCAAATTTTATATTAGGGTTCGGAAAGGGTGTCTGCAAGACCCCTCAAGTGGAACAAGAAGTAGCTCTGATGCATCATGGTAATTAGGAAAAAGTTACAAATGACAACAACAGTTTTTTATTTCCAGGTGTGCTATAGATTTTACCCGTGATAATAAAAAGTTAAGTTATTGAAAATGATTGAATCAACTGTGGTTTAAAATTTTTGCAAATAGAGAGTGCACAGCCACTTGGAGATGGCAAATACTGATCGAGGAACGTGATTCGTTATTCATGAAATCTCCGCTGAGATGTACTTGACTTGTGAACTATTTCTCTAATTTCGTTAAAAGTGAAATATTTTTTCAAGGTTCTCTATACTGGCAGCTCCGTGATTCTTCAAGGGAGGATTTTTTTTTCATATGCCCAACTACACTTCATTCATTATCCATGCCCAATTATTTTTAGAATTTTACATGGCATCCTTAACAGATTAACGCTACAACCTAGGCACTTTGAATCAACCAGTTGTAGACCTGTTCAAAAATAATTGGTCAGCAAAACCAAGCATTGAGCATAACTTTAAAGTATTTATTTTTTAACATTTATTTCCATTTCTTATTCGTGCTTATGGCCGAATTATGATGATTGAAAATGTACAGGTAAATTTATCCCTAGAAATTGCCTAATCTTAGCAGTAACCATTCGAAATTCTGCAAGTTAAGAGTTACTTGATACATTTACAACACACGTGTAACATCTTTAACAAATGCATCCTTTGTTACAAATAATGACATGCTACAGTGAGAAACGGAAATTTTTCTTGCTAATCATGACCCCCTTGGTTTATTTACAAGCAGAGGAGGATGCGAGGCCTTTAATTTATTACTGGTCATCCGTGCTACTGCAGCAGAAGTGTACGTGACGCGTCCATTTGCTAAGACTTACGCATGAAATGATGTCACGAACCACTCCATCCTTTGTGTGCACCTTTCGGTGCTAAAACTGAAGACATAGCGTTTGTTTAGCTGCATGGCTAATGTCACAATAACGTCAGCATACAACAATAGCTCACTTCTTGCTGTTATTGTCTACTACAGAATAATTTTATCACAGTTTGTTTAGCTGCATTGCGAATATCATGATCACGCCAACAGTACAATAATGGATTCAGCAATGAATTCAGAAGTGGGCAAAGATAAAGGATCATTGCAAACGAAAATGTTGCATCTGTTGGATTTAATTTATAAGAAAATATAAAAGAAATTAGGAGATAAGGGAGATAACAGACGAGAAAAATCATTAAAATATATATGGTATTAGTGAATGATTTTTTAAACCTGCACATGTCAATTTGATGTGGTGGAGTGTTCCTTTGTTCATGGATCTGAGCCTGATGGCGACGCATTACTTGGTAGATTTTAGTCCAAGTGTAAAACATGGCAACAAGGCAAACAGTTGTCACAACCAACATGACTTGAGAAAACGCTACATTGCCAGAACTCCATGCTATGGATCCTATGCCACTTATAAACCATATGCACACCAATGCGATCCGTGCTCTCTTCTCTGTGACTATTTCTGAGTATCGTAGATGAAAATATATTGCAAAGTAACGGTCAATGCTTATAGCTGTTACTGTAAAAAGACTTACTTCTTTAAGGAACGAAGATATGATGGCATGGACGGTTGGAAACACGCATGAATTGAGTTTGTTTTGGTAAACCAAAATTTGCAACGTAATGAAACACGTTTCCGATATCAGTCCAGTACATAAATCCGATAGGACGAGACCGCATAGAAGAATATTCGACGGTGAAACTCGTAAGCTAGAACTTCCCAAAATTGAAACAAGAACCAAAAGATTTTCCAGTGCTGTCAATATGGAGACGACGATGTGTAAAACCATACTTGTGATCATAACACCTGTGTTTTCAGACTCGTGAGAGATACTAAGACAGGTGAGCTCTTGAGAAATATTTCCCTTACCTCCAGTCATCCTTTCACTTTTGCGATTCGTGAATTATCAATATAACTTAGAGCCTTCTTGAAACTGAATAATTGGTCTGAGTGTTTTCCAAAGACTTTAAAAGGACTCTTTGTACTGATGAAACAAAGCAAGGGCCGAACCACTAACAAGAAAGGGTAAAATTGGGAGCAGGTTCGTAAGGATAAATGTGAAATCCAGCCGTCAGTGCAAGCCAGTACTGAACCAAAGATCACATCTGATTAAGTGATCGGACGAAAGAGTTTACTTATGTTTGTTTGTTTCCAATTTTTCTTAATTTGAGACTTTGCCAGCTGCATGTCATTTCTATTTTGAAAAACGTTTGTCTAAAATACATTCAGAAACGAGAGGAAAAGCAACGAAAAGTAACAAAACATGATAATCTTGGGTTGAAATGAAATTTTACCTCGTTTGTTCATTTGTTTTTTAAGATTTTTACTGCAATTTCCTCGCTTGAGAATGTGCTTGTCTTTAATTGACATTTTGACGCCGATTGACAATTTGTTTTTATGTATTCAGGTTGTAATGAAAGCAATACATGCAATAAGTAGACGTAGCAGCATAAGTCAAACCTCCCACTGACCCTTGAACGTAAAACCTGTGCGGTACTTTACGAGAGATGCTCCTTCAAAACAAGATTTCTAGAACAGATCTGAGATTTTCAGATAGTGTTTATACCGAAAGATTTTTATAGGAAAACGCCACAATCGTGAACACAACATAGCGCTCATGCTAATCATGGGAGACAACTTTTACGCAAAAAAGATCCCTGTGTATTGACTTATTGACGTCCACTACAATTAATCAGATACAAATTCGAATAATCTTTGAATTGAGGAATTGTCTCTATGGCCTCCCTTCCATTCAGAACACAAAAAACCACAGCGGAAAAAAACAATTCATGATCAGAGGATACATCGAACCTGTATTAAGCGGCACCGTATTCAGCGGTCACCCCGTATCAACCGGTCAGTGTTAGAAGTCCCAAATTTCTTTCCCACTGTAATATTCACCTCTATTAAACGGTCGCGGTCACCCTTTTTTTAAGTCCCAACGGCCTGTTTTTATTACCTCCCCATGTATTGAACGGTCACTGAAAGCAGGATCACTCAAAAAAAGAAAAATATTTTAAATCCATTTTTCTCTACCAAAATCAAAGTAAATAGTATTTTCGAGCGAGATTCTGTACATCAAGTGGTCAGTCATAGCCTTAATAATACACATGAAAAAAATGACGCGCCTTTGATTGGCTGAAAACGAGTGCATTTTTCATGTAACACGATTGCAAATTACAAAAAACGCGCATGCTGCCAAAATCTCGTCACTCTATTTGCAAATTCTGACAGGCTGGAAAGGGATAGCCTACGAGAAATTCGAGAAAGTACTCAGAGGTGCTGCGGCTCGAGTATCGTATAGCTGGAAAGGATTTTCGCCTCCCGCTCTGGCGTTCCACAAGGTCTTACAGAAAAGGTCAAAAATTGCATAATTCCTGATATCTGAAAGAACAAGAAACCGAATCAAGTTATTGATTGGAATTGACATGTACAATGGACGCCAAGGAATGTCTCATGTGTCGATTGGTTAAATAATTAATTCAGGGGATTCAGGGCATTATTTTAACCCCTTGTAACTGTTCATGGCTGTCACATCAACAGGTGACGGTGAACGCACCGCGGCTCTACTGCGGGCGATTTGAAAACCGGGAGATCCTGGGGATGAAATTAAACTCAAGAGCGACTGACTTGAAAATCTGTAGCAAACTCTTTCGAGTTGTTTTACCTTTAATACAATGTGTTTTAAGGTTCAGTGCGACAAGTGTGAGAAGACAACGTGGAAAGGTAAGCAACCGAAAAATAACAAGAACCTTTTTTGAAAATATCAACCGAGATCACGTCGAAATGTATTCCACGCTTGCCAAGTGTGTTACATTTGCTTGAGTTTGATGGTGACTCATAATTTACGTGTCTGGAAATTTCTAGCACACTGCACACACTTAAAGAGTAAATAGGCAAAAATATGTGAAAAATCTTAATAATAATAATAATAATAATAATAATAATAACAGTAGTGACAGGAAAAATTATACGGTGAATTCATGTGTCATACAGGATACACTCTTGAACGTGCTGTAATAATCACCTTGTACGTGTAGTAACATCTTAGGCAAAGTTTCCGCACAGCCCCATACTACATTATGCATTCAGTTCTTGGATAGAGAAAACAATGACAAAAACAATACAATTCTACTGGGAAAACAGATTTATTTTACAATGGTGTGGAGCTATGCGGAAATTTTACCGGAGACATTTTTACTTTTAGTCTATTTGATTTCTTGTTCTTCTTATTTGAGGCTGTGGTAAACATGCTGAAGCAGTAATGAGGGATGTGCCTGAAGACCAGAAGTGCAAGTGTCCTCGAGACAGGTCTGATAATTGAACCAGCAATCACTTGAGCTGACTACCAGGTGAGCACTGTTTATGCCTATTTTGTTATTTAACTGTGTGTAATTTTTGTAACACTTAAGTTGCAACTTTTGATTGTATTAAGTTTTAATCTATCTGCTCTTCCAAACTGATCTCAGCATAACTTGTCTCTACAATTTGAAATGTTATGGGATTGGAATAGACCTGTATGGACACTCCTATTCGAAAAATTTTTCCAGTCCTTAAAAGTGGGGTTCCCTGTTATGATGGAGTGTAAGGTGTGGAATATCACATGATTAGGAAGGTGCCAAATTGTTGAGAGCCGTATTTGTTATGAGTAGAATTTTATAGATAACACAATTCTTTACTAGGGGCCAATAACTGAGACTGAAAAATTCTGGGGAAGTGGAAAGGTTATTGTGTCTCATCTAACACT